CGAATCTCAACCAGAACACCAACTATCGTGATTGACCAATTTCGTGGTTTTCCTCAATATCTCAAGACGAATGAACAGATAGCGCCTCGAAACAGGCTACGACCGCTTCCTTCCATGTAATTTCCCTTTCATCAGTAATTAGACAACCTACCATCTGTGGTACTGACACGTAAAAAAAGTGTAACGATACCTGTAACAAGTCGTGGAGGTCCATAGCCTTGTGAGACGTCGAGGCTCCCACATTTTCTGGACAAGTTAGTTAAAGCATAACCGCGGATCATCTGGTATGAGCGCTTTGGGAATTTTACGATGTCAACAGAAATTCATATTCAGTAATTCAGTTAACAATTCACACGGACGCAGAAAAACGGAAACATAATTTAGCAAACTAGTTTGCTAAATTATTTTCCAGGACTACTCTTCGAGGTTCTAGACTGTGTACATAAATTCATATATGCCTTTTCTAGGTGACTGTCAAAAGCAAATTCGGATTCCAAAATAGCTCCATGAATTATAAATATCTGTTTCTCGAGTTACTGTCCCATCATGCTACAGGTGGGCTATCAGCTGAGATTTTTCTACCTCAGGAAAAGAAAACAAAAGCAGGCTTTATTTTGTATTATATTTTTGTTTGTTTCTAGCATAAAAATAAAGGATTCATCTTTATTTCATCTTTTATTTTGATATCAACACATATGCTCATGCCATGTCTGAGATGTTACGCCGTGTAATTTGGAAGTTTTTTTACCAACATTTCGGAGGGACCCACTGTCTCATCCTCTAAGGCAGAAGAGTAAACCTGAAGATGAACGCTGCGAGAATCTCAGACCTCACATGTATTCATATAGGCGGTTGGACCGGTCCGGAGTACCTGACCAAGCACTCTCTCGCCCGAATTGCCTTTGCGTATGGCTCAATCAAAATTCACTTCACCTTGTAAAGGAAAGCTATAAGTAAATTTGTCAAGACATTTGCTAAGATTTCCTCCGGGCGTGTAATCCCACATCTTACGCGGATGTTGCTACTTGCTGTCCGGCAGACAAGCAGTCGAAGTTACGGTTGCAGTGTGACCTTGTGCCCTATGCATCCATGAATGTCGGATGTACGCTTGCGCAAGAGAGACGCCCACACTCACTATCGTCAGACAGGGCTCGCCTCTTTTGCATGCGACGAGACGAGGTAACTTGTCTCTTCTGCCTGTTCAAGTTATGACAGATAAGTGTGATTGTTGTTATGAATTAACTTCCACCAAGTAAATATAACGAGCACATGTTCCCGAGATCGTGTCTGTCTCTCTATTTCATACACAAAACTACTCGACACATTTATTTTCTTGTGGGTTATATAACGGTGCCTATCACAGTGACCGCGCGGTCTAAAGCCGGGTCCAGACTTGTTGCGTATCCCCGTATCGTATCAGAGTGGACGGTACTCCGTATCATCCTTCCGTTGGAAAATGATACGCAACGGGCTGTTCGCTCGCTTGGCGGTCTTTTCCCGTC